TACATGCTTGAAATTTAAATTATACAATTAACCCTAAAATGTCTACATGATTATTTTTATTATAATAATATTAATTATAGATAAGAAATAAAAAAAAGAGAGAAAGAGATTAACTGAAATACCTCTCGAATGAGCTCTATTGAATCTTCAAAATAGGAAGATTTTAGGTGCTTTGTGGCAACCTTTCACACTATAATGTGACTCACAAAATCTCAAGAAATACAAAAGAGAGAGAGAGAGAGAAAAAGAGAGAAATTTCGAGCTCTAAGGAGTCTGGACGAAATTTTTTGGGGGGTCCTGAGAACTGTGCCCAAGATGTCTATTTATAGACTTCGAAAAGTGGCTAAAACGACCCATTCCAAAATTGGAACGACCCGTTCTGGATCCGACCATTCTGTGTTAATTTTGTGACTGGAATGGTCCGTTCTGAAACTAGAACGACCCGTTCCAGAAGTGAGATTAACACATAATTTCCTAGATTGGAACGATCGTTCCAAACAAGAGTTTTTAGGCCATTTTAATAACTTGGAATGGCTCGTTCCAGTTTAGGAACGACCAGTTCCAGTTAAGGTTTTAGCCCTTTTTTGAGGAGTTTGGAATGGCCCGTTCGAATCTTGGAAAGGCCCGTTCCAATCTTAGAACGGCTCGTTCCAAACTAGGGTTTTAGGCCCTTTTAGGATATTGGAACGGCCCGTTCTGGTTTTGCAACAGCCCGTTCCAGGCTACTAAAACCAGCTTGTTTGGGCTTTTAGTCCTCCTGATGTCTTGTCCTGTTATTTCCATGCTTGGGAGCTCCATTTCTTTGATGATAGACGTCCATTTCATTGCTTGTATGCCCCCGGACAAAATTGGGTGTCTACATCTATTAGTGATTTTCCTGGTCTTGGAACCTTATCTGGGTGGAATGTACATACTAGGTTAGCATGTCCTAGATGTAATTTTGACTTTATTTCTAATCATCTTCGTAATAGTAAAAAATTTTGCTTCATGGGTCATCGTCGTTTTCTTAATCAAAGGCATAAATTTAGATTAATTCGAAATAGATTTGATGGAAATGTCGAAAATAGAAATCCTCCTTTGGAAATTATAGACACTGATGTCGTAGAGCAAGTTGAGAATCTTAATGTTGTATTCAGAAAACAATCAGAAGATGAGGTTCAGGGAAAAAGAAAACAAGGAGAATGTCATACTAAAGGAACCACTATGCAATGGAAAAAAAATAGTATATTTTTTGAGCTTCCTTATTGGGTAGACAATTTGTTAAACCACAATCTTGATGTCATGAATATTGAAAAAAAATGTGTGCAATAATGTGATATTTACATTATTGAATGACTCAACAAAATCAAAAGGCAACTTAAGTGAACGAAAAGGCTTACAAGAATGGGGTATTAGACCTGATCTTTGGCCTGAACAGAATGGTAAATATCTTCATGCGATATATACATTGACAAAAGAAAATAAGGAAATCTTTCTTAGAACTTTGAAGAATATTATCGTTCTTGATGGCTACTCAAGCAACATTAGTAGATGCATTGATCTCAATCAACGTAAACTTGGGGATTGAAAAGTCATGACTCACACGTTTTGATAAAGCAACTTCTACCTCTTGTAATTAGAAAGACACTCCCAAAGCAAGTGGGTTCTGTGTTGATTGATTTGTGTTCATTTTTTAGACAATTATGTAATAAAGTGTTACAAGTTGACGAAGTTGACCAACTACAAAGTAGAGTTGTTCTTACATTATGTCACATGGAAATTTTATTTCCACCTTCATTTTTTACATTCATGGTTCATTTGATTGTGCACTTAGTTGAAGATGCCAAGCTTGGAGGACCCGTTCAATACAGATGGATGTATCCCATTGAGAGGTACTTAGGAAAATTAAAGTCTTATGTGTGTAACAGGGCTCAACTAGAAGGCTCCATAGCTGAAGGGTACATGGATGAAGAGGCTTTAACTTTTTGCTCTAGATATTTCGATGGAATTAAGACTATATTCAATCGATTGGGTCATGTTAATGACGAACCTAATAATGTTTCACATAGCCAAAGCACTTTGTTTCCATCTATTGGTAAGCCATTCGAAGGTTATACTTACTTTACTTTATCAACAAAGGAAAAGTTACAAGCACATAGTCATGTATTAACGAATCATGTATTGACTAATTATGCTCAAGTTGACCCATTTCTCCGGTAAATACTTTGACTATATAATTTACTAAAATAATTCTTTACTTAAATTATTATTTGTAATTACATTATATATTTCTCATAGGGAATACAGAGAAATTATTCGTAGACAAATGAGAAGCCGTACACGATCATCCACTATGATAGATAAGAAAGTTCATAGAGAATTTGTGGAATGGTTTTCACATCGTGTATGTATATCTACACTATTCAACTTTATATATATATATATATGTAATTTTCATCACTAATGATTTTTTTTAGATAAGAAATCTCTAATGGATCCTATTAAGATGATTTAATGTTTTTAGCTATGGGTCCAATTGATTGCACAAAGCGCTTTAGTGCATACAATGTAAATGGATTCAAGTTTCATACATTGGAGAGAGACCAAGGACTTAAAACACAAAATAGTGGAATATTTGGTACATTTGGAACAAGAAGTTAGGCTAGTAGTAGTGACAATCAAATGTAGTTTGGGGGTGTGCCTTATTATGGGAAATTGTTGGACATAATTGAGATAAACTATCAAGGTCGATTCTCAGTTACTTTGTTCAAATGTATGTGGGCCAATACAACTACTTCTAGAGGGATTGCGAAAGATGACTTAGGATTTACATTAGTAAGTTTTGCACATTTGATACATACAAGTGATAACGAAGATGATGAGCCATATATACAGGTTTCAGAAGCTCAAGTTGTTTACTATGTAGATGATGAGTTAGATAAAAGTTGGAGCATACTTGTTCATGTAAAGCCACGAGACTTATATGACATGGGTGGAGAAGATGGTGATACTTTTCATGAATGTGAGATTTTTGTGCAACAAAATTTTGAAATATTATTTCCAGATGGGGAAGGGAATATTCCATTAACAAGGTCTAAATTTAGTTTTTATTTTATATACTAATTGTGTTTTAATATCATCTTTATTATTTGTGTGTTATATTTACTATTATATATTAATATATTAATTTGGTAATTTGACTTATATTAATGTTATTGGTTTTAGAATACTTGAAGATGAAGGAAATTTCCATCAAGAAGACCAGTGAAGCACACACGAACCAAGTGGCTCTTTTGGCCATGTTTCAGCCACTCCCCACAATAAAAGTAGTCAACCTTCATCTTCACATAATTCATCTCATCCTAGTACGTATTAAAAATACAATGTCTCGTTACTATTATTTAAAACTGCACAAGACAACACCTTTCTAATGATTATAATATGTTTGATGTTAGAAACCTTGAAGATGAAATTTGCAATCTCAACAAAGTGTAAATCATAACCTCAACAACCTTGTAAGATATTTCCACTTTCATATCAATTTAGAATTATTTTACTTGCATTAATTATTTTGTCTTATTTTACTTGTATTGATCAAATTGATTTCCAGCACCTCAAGTGCATACTCATATTCCATCTCAATCTAGTAAGATGCATCAACTTTAGTCTAATACAATACCTCTTTCATCCCAACCTAGTGAGATGCCTCAACTTTCATTTTAATTTGGAACTCATTCATCAATTGTATTAGTTGTAGGGACTATTTCTTATTTCACTTGTATTACTCAATTATTTTCTAGGATATATGAAGAGGACATTTTCCACCAGCAACAATAACTCTGCACCTCAACTAAATATTCAACCTCCACTTGAATCTCAATTTGATTCTCAACCCCAACCCGCACTTCAGTCTAATACAATACCTCCTCAATCTCAACCTAGTAAGAATTTCAATTTGGAACTCATCCATTAATTGCATTAGTTGTATGGACTATATTTCTTATTTCATTTGTATTACTCTAATTGTTTTCTAGGATCTTTGAAGGAGAGGACATTTTCCACCATCAAAAATAACTCTGCACCTCAACTAAATATTCAACCTCCACTTGAATCTGAATTTGATTCTCAACCTACACATGATTTGTATATGAATCTACACCTGTAGCTACACCTGAGTTACAATATGATAGTGAAGAGGAAGAAAATGAGGAAATTGGCATGCAAGCAAAGCAATCAAAGGTTGTATCACATAAGAGATCATGGCTTGTTGATGTGATAGGTAAGATTGAATTAATATTATTTAATTATATATATGTATATCAAAAAAAATTATTCCTTATACAAAAGATCAAGTTTTGTTAACTTGATATGTTAGATTTAATTTACTAGTATATGATTAAATTAAATTCTTATTTCTCATGTTTGTGTGATACTTTAACAGATGATTAGGGCAGTAAAAGTAAAAAACAATTGACTGTCAATGATGTTTGGTATTTACCTCCTACTAAAAAGATTGTTGTGCATTAGAATAGTGAGGACCAACCGATTGACAATGCTGAAGCATTGTTGAATAGGTTTTTAGGTCAAGTTGCAAGAAATGTCAATATATTTCCTATTTTCTATCAAAGTTGGAGAAAGATTCCAAAAGACTACAAAGAAAATGCTCTTAAGCACACCATTGAAGTAAGTGATGTGTGCATTTCATTTATTTGTGATTTCAAATATATTCAATTTATTGTTAACTTTAATTATTTAATAATTTGAAGGCTAAGTTTGAAATTCCCTCTGAAGCTCATGCACAATATGTCTTCAAACCACTTAACATAAAATGGAGTGACTATAGGCAACAATTATGGAACCAAAGGAATGATGGAACACGTACAAGAGATGAATTGATTGCAATGGTTCTAGAAGGGATAAATATAGACCATTGGGCTTCTTATGTTGACTATCATCTAACTTCAAAAATGAAGGTACTATAAACTATTTTTTTATCGTTTATATTTATGTACTTGGATTTGTTAATTTTTTTTATCGTAAATAGGAAATTTCCCAAAAAAATAAGGATAATAGGAAGATGCAAACATTTCTTCACACTGGTGGATCCAAGAGCATTGCAAGAAAGAGACATGAGATGGTAACTTAAAAATTTTAATAATATAATTATATTTTTTCATCTAACATATATACTAATATAATTTTGTTACATTTTATAGGAACAAGAATGTGGTCGTAAAGTTAGTAGGGGAGAAGTATGGATAACAACACATAAACATGCTAATGGAGAATTTGTGAATGATGAAGCAAGATAAATTAGTGTAAGTTCATTTTTGGCAAATATTATAGTGCTTAAACAAGTATATGTCAACTTATATTATTACTTATATTGTAGGAAAAAATTAAAGCATATGAATCAAATGAATCATCATCTTCACAAGACATATCAACTCAAGATTCCCTAGCACATGCTTTAGGAAGTCAAGAACATTGTGGACGTGTTCGGGGGATGGGATTGGGCCCTTTTCCATCTCGTTTGTTTGGATACACTAGACATTCACATAATGGGATGACTTCATCTTCTTCTTATAGACAATTACAAAATGAGGTTAGTATGTGTTTATTTTTCTTTATTTGCTATTAATTTTTTTGGGACTAAATTAATTCAGTGATTGGGACTGAATTGGTGATGCTAATGCTAATTCAATTTCCATTAATATTTTTCAATTTCAAACCTCATTCACATTCTTATTTATATTCCCCCTTTTTTATTTTTGTTATTTTTTATATCCATCCCTTAATTATAGAAAATAATGAAAATTGAATTTATCAACTAATACCTGTGTATTTGTAAATGACATAATTAATTGTTATTAATTCCTTGTAATTTTTATTTTTATTGGTTTAACTAAATTAAATTTTTGTTTCACATGTCACTACTTTGAAATCACAATTGGAGGAGCAAAATAAAAAATTTGATGAACAAAATAAAAAATTTGACGCAATGTTTAACTTTTTTGCGCAAAATTATCAAGGTCAATTGCCTCCCAACTTGGCAATGTTTCAACCTTCACCGGTAATTTTTAAAAGTCAAATAATTTTTTTAATATATTTCGTTGTATAATTTTTTTAAGTTTTAAATTATAATTTACATTTATATTTCAGGTTTCTGATCAAGGAAGTGTACCAACTAATGAAACAAATTCTCAACATGGAGATGAGCATATTTGATAGTTGATGAAGAGCATATCAATTTAAAGAAGATTTATCCTTTATTTTCATAAATTTGATAGAACATATTATCATTGTACTAGTTTGTTTTGAGTAACATATTTTATCATTTTATATTCACTATTTTCTAGGATTGACCATACAAGAGTCTTCAGAAACTTCTTTTAGTGTATAAAAGTTTTTATACATTGTGATGTTATGTACTTTTTGTTTCACAATCAAACTAATATAAATTTGTGTTAGTTATCCTTATATAATTTGTAATTTGAATCCTTGTTAATTGATTTATTTTATATAATTATATAACAAGAAGGTCATTACGTAAAGAATATCTAGTATAATATTGAATTTGTAAGTATAATTATTTTATATAATTATATAACAAATGTAAAGAATATCCGGTATAATATTGAATTTACAAGTATAAGAAAGTATTCTTTTTTAAAAAAAGATATTAACAAAAATTAGATAATCTAGAAAAAATTTAGATTGTGTTAGCAGGGTTATATAACCCCTAACACATTCCTGGGATTATATAACCCCCACTAATACATATGATTTAATGGGGTTATAAATGCATGTTACTTAATGAGGGTTACATAACTCTAGTTAATTACTTGGGGTTAGAAACCCTTGTTAAGTAATGGGGGTTAGAATTTGCAACTATACAAGTGGGGACACTACTATAGGATGTATTATCTACATCAGCTCTGCGAGGTAATCTACATCGGTTCTAAAACCGATGTAGAATAGAGCAACTTAGAAATACAAACACTTCTACATCGATTTTGAAACTGATGTAGATTTGTGCAAAATTTACATCGGTTTTTCTGACAACCGATGAAGATTTGCGTACAAATTCACATTGGTTATCAGTAAAAATGATGTAGATTTGAGCACAAATCTACATCGGTTCTACTAACAACCGATGTAGAATGCATTATTAAAAAAAAGCTTCATTTATTTTTTTAGATTCTTTCTGATTACCTGTAATAAACATATATATATATATATAAATATATATAAATCTCAAACAGAAATTGTATGGTGCACTATTCTACTCAATTGTGTTGCCAAATATAAGTCATCTTATTTCATCAACTACATACATATAATTCATCTAATTTCTTCGACTAGATAAATATAATTGAGTTTAAGGTACCTTACTAAGAAGATATGACAAACTAGATATGTGTTGACTAATGGATGTCAACAAGAGAAGTATCACCCTCTGCACACTTCCTGCCAAATCAAAATCAAGTTTAAGATTTATGTGACTAGAATCTAGCCTTTCCAAGCATGTCATATTTCTATAAGCATTAAGGATTTTTACTAAATGGCAGAAACTTAGATCAAGTCTATACATACATGGGAAAGTAGATGCGGAAGTAATCATATTGATATTATATATATTTTACTTTTTCTAATAAATTTTAATATTTTAATTATATATATTTTTTATATTATATAGATTAAATATTTTTTTTAATGTTCTTCCAACAATACATTTTTGAGTAATCATCCCATCACTCCGTGTTCAGGCAACACTATTTATAGAAAGAAATAATTTTTAATTTTATCAACAATCATTATTTTCGTAAGAATAGAATATTCATAGGAAAATATGTATGTGTATTGCTCAAGATGTAAACCAGAATATCTAAACCAGAAGAACCTTGTTAAGGAAATGCTGATGCAGATTGCCTTTAACATTACCTCAAATATTAGCCAAAAACCAATCAGCCAATAAATGATTATTGATTACCTAAAAGGTAAAAAGTAAGATATATTTCCCATCAGGCACATGAATCCAATTATTCAGTTAAAATATCACTGATCATCAATTATCGATCTCAAATATATCCATTTCTTGAAAGAGAGCTTTTACAATATTTAATTATTTATATCTAGCACTGCCTTTGCATCACTAGAAATAGCCATTCTTCATAATAGTAAAGCAATAATTTGTGTAGAATCCCAGCGTGTACAATTTTTATACACTTTCTTTATACTTTCAAAAATGTCAATTAACCAACTTGGTGTTAAATAATAGTTTTGTTTACTAACAAAAGCCTTCTCATCTGTTGTGCAACTAATCTAGACACCAACTTGCTTTACTCATTTTTTCCATTTTACTCATTTTCACAAACAAAAAAGAATCATTGAGAAATCTAAAAATAAGCATTCAAACAAGAGGAATAGCCCAAGGAGTTCTATTATCCCATCTAGTTTATGATCTACATAAGCATTTAAACAAGAGGAATAGCCTAAGGGATTCTATTATCCCATCTAGTTTATGATCTACATAAGCATTTAAACAAGAGGAATAGAAATAGAACCACTACACGTTGCATTTACCAAATAAAAAAAGAGAAACTGCACAATGTATTTACCAGAAAATATAAAGAAATATTGCCTAATGTATTTGCCAGAAAATATATATTGCACAATGCATGCAGATCCTGTACTTGAATATACCTTGCTCCTAGTAAGGCTCCATTCCCAAGTTGAAACTGTGTTCTATAGTCATTACCAGAAAAAAGAGAAACTGCACAATGTATTTACCAGAAAATATAAAGAAATATTGCATAATGTATTTACCAGAAAATATAAAGAAATACTACACAATGCATGCAGATCCTGTACCTGAATATAACTTGCTCCTAGTAAGGCTCCATTTCCAAGTTGAAACTGTGTTCTATAGTCATTTCCCTGAAAAATATAATATAATAAAATTAAGAAACAAGGAAAATACTTAAAGAGAGCTCATATGCATAGTATATATGTCCTAGAAAAAGAAAATTTTAATTAATCAAAAGCACATCAACTAATTTAGTTGAGAAATGGTAAACTAGTTGACCTTGTAATCAAAGTTGATCAAATTTTACTGTCACTTATGCATATTAATATACCAGGTTGTAATAGTGAATCATAACGAATGGAGGAAAATTAATTATTCATTTGTGTGAGTATACTAGCTAGTATACTCGTTGCTGGAGCAGGATAACCCAAACACTAGCCTCAGTCCACAAGGAAATTTTAGTACATGAAAAGACTTGGCATGCACAACCAAAAAGATTAAGCAAAATGTATCACAAGAAAAATCATATATAGAGATTAATCAAAGTTAAAGTGGTGAAAGAGAGGCATACGAAGACCAATATTGAGAATATTACCTTTTAAAAGTGCTACAGCAAGGACCTCAAGCAACAGTGAAACCAAAACCAAAAATAGAAGGAAGTAAGAATAGGCTAATTGAATGGAGGCAGTGGGCACTTAAAGTGTTAGGTGATTAGTATAAGAATAGTAGTAGAGTTTTAGTGATTGGGAAGGGTGATGGAGAATGAGATTAATATATTATATAATATGAGTTGACTAATATGGGAGTGTAGGAATCTAAATTAATTCATGTCATGAATGTCTCCAATGCATGTGCCAATAAATCCCATCACAGATTATTACTATAACACCTCTTTTCCCTTTTTGGTTTCACAATTTTCATGCGTGCCAAAATCACATTACTATTGCCACCAACATATTTTATTTAATCAAACATTACCTAAGACGGCGTGTTAATTCATGCAGTTTCTAACAGTTGTTATTCATCTAATTGAGCTAACTTAACAGTTGTTATTCTAACTGAGTAACAGAACAGTAAGTACACTAAAACAACTTTATCCCATTTCAATATTGGGTGCAAGTTAGCAACGTTAAATTTCATCAAGGAAAACATATGGCAGGAAGCTAGCAAGTCTGAAATCTATGGGAAGATGCAAGCAGTGTTTATAGAAATGGATAACTATCTAGATGTAAACATAAGCCTTTGATCCTCTTAACAACATATTTTGATATAAGTTTTGTACTATCTGTACCGCTATGCCGAGCTTGAGCTCGGCATCACAGCGCGGAGTGACCTCGGACACGCGCTAGGCGACATCGGCTCGCTATCCAATTAGGTCATAAATTGATCTCGGGCCCAATGCCCAACAAAACCCTAATACACACAAAGGTACGTGCATTACTTATACGAGACTCATACACCCACAAACACTAACTTTAGCATCGGAGTCTCTTTTGCAGGTACCACCCCCATCTTGGAGCATCAAGCGTACCAGCGAAGGAGGCTCACCAATCTTACTCGGAGGATCATCTCTACAGCAGATTTCCGGTAAGAACATTTGGCGCCCACCGTGGGGCCGATCAAGACAGCTCTTATCGGCCACTCTTATGGTTTCTACCAGAAGCCATAGCAGACGCGCAACAGACGACCTAGATCACGCAACTACCATGGACAACGAAGCAGCATTGAGAAGGCTGATCGAGCAGGTCGAGCAGATGCGGCAGCAACACATCGCCGATCTGCAAAACATGCGTG